CTAAGAGTCCTCTTTCATAAGAAAAAAAATAACAAGACTGTTCCCTTATTCCTCTTCTATGAAAATACACTTGAGAAGTATCTCCTTTTGAGCCCACACAAAAAGTATCTATTTTATCAAACTTACTTAAACTAGGAAAAAATTTTAAGTGATGGCTATTAATATTCAAATAATATGCAAATATTTACTATATATACCATACTAGAAAGTTGTGGTTATTAAAAAGAAAAATAAAAGATCTTTAAAGAGCTATAATTCCTAACAGGAGATACTTTTTATAACAAGGCAAAATCAAGCATGATGTATTGCTCAATAATGCAAGTGCTATAAAAGTGATGATCAAGAGCTCAAAATGTAGAGTTCACGAACAGGTGGAGTTAGCGTGGAGGATTTATGGATGTGGCCTTTAAAACAGGCCTGAAAAAGGTAACTTCAGGTTTCACATGGTAGTATACTGTAACTACCCTTTCTTCAGAAAAAAAAAAAAAAGCCAAACATAAAAGGGAAGGCTATAAACCCAAACACAAATTATATAAAGAAAAAATAGGTAGGAAAGAAATCAATGGCAGAGTACAACAGGAAAGAAAACATAATCATAGCATATTCTTAGCTGAGGAGTAAATAATATTTAGAGCAAAAAATAATGACATGCCAAAAGTGAATTTAATACAATATTGTAATGAAATTATATTTGGAATTGAACAACAGTGGAGAGATGAGGCAGTGCTAATAACAAACTATCACTATACAACATCAACAGTTCAACATGGCATTATATGAACACATTATGGACTTATTTTTATTGTGTACGTGTTATTTAACAGGACACTTTTCAAAACAATATTTCAATTGAAAAGGTAAAAGAACAAATTTAAAGTGACTGAAAAATATATGAGAAAGCAAATTCATATGCAAATCAACCTCAAGTAGAAAATCTGTGAAAATTCAGTAGTTTGTGTTCACATAATCTTTCCTAAGAAAACGAAGAATTTGCAAAGAAATTCCCATATCTTAAATGTATGCTGAGATACTAGTGAGAATACTAACAGTTTGGAAATAATTCCCCCAAAGGAAAAAAAAAATAAATTATGGAAGAGTGACACAGCTGCGTACTATTCAGCTATTAGAAGTGATACTTTCAAAGAGTGGTGATAAATAATAAATCAGTAAGATAAGAAGAATAGATTCTAAGAGGAAATGACATGAATGCCAAAAGGGAGGAAAGCAAGTAGAAATCATGTATGAGAAATCATGCATAATTTATTCAGAACTGGAGAAGCAAATGAACAGTTGCTGAGGTATGGCTGTACCACAAGTTTTGTAAAAAATGCTTTAGCCCAAAAACTGAGGATCCAATACTGAAATTCAGTCCTTTTATTACTGGACATCTTTATTTGAATCTCAAGATTTTATGTATAAAATTATACATTTGCATAGCACTCTTCTAGTGATAAAAACACTGTGCATACCTGTATCAAAGGAAGTTTGCAAAAAGCTTTTGTCACGTAAAATGACTATATAAAAATATTCTATTTCGAATGAAGTTCGAAAATTAGAAATTACTACTCTTAAAATATTTGCATGGCACTTATTTTCAAGTAACTGCCTTATTTATAAATCATTTAGCAAGTACTGTACAAGCTTATTCTGTAGTACAGGAGCACAGTTTAGCCATGCTCACAGACAATGTAATCATATACTGCCTCTTACTGTTTCACAGGAGAACTAATTGTTCTGTGACATTGTCAGCTAAAGTTGCTTAAAGAATAGATTTGTATTTGTTTCTTTGATATAGTTAGCAGTCTTTCCAGATGATAAAATGTTTTGGTCTGCTAAATTCAGTTGTGTGAGTGGCAGTACACACACTGACTATCTTGTTTTATTGGTCAATCACTTTCCCAGATATAGAAAAGCAAGGAAATTAAACCTTACCTTTTAATTTAAACCTAGTACTGTTTGAGTTTTTAAATTCACTTTCCTTTTTTTGCCAAAGACTTTTTTGTTAAATAAATGTTGCTGATAAGTGTCTCTTACTAATTACATACTTCCAAGGCCTCTATGGTGAAAACATTTTAACTAGCAAGTTCTATCTTTTCATATTAAAAGCTATTTTTAAAAAAGCTATTGAAATAGTATTTTATGATATTTATGTGAAAACACTCTAATTTTATCTGAGTAGGTTATTATAAGGAGGTTTACAGAAATGAGTAGCAATGTAGTCAACAGAGCAAGGAGCAATGCTCTTTATATTACATTCAGTATGAACTTTTTTGAAGTGCAGTAAACTGAAATACCAGAACTTTATCCGTATTACTAAAAGCTCAAATACAAAAAAATATTCAAAATTATAATCACTAGAGACACAATAGGTTATATATAATTCAGTAGTGTGCTTCATAAAACAGAATAACTAAACAAATTAACAAATTTAGTTTCTTTTCCAAAGAAACTAAAATAAGAACAGGTTCTAAATAAAAAAAAAAGCAAACTTATCCTCATTTTAATTTTTTTAGCTGAGTTATTCCTAAGGTTATCTTCAAAAAGTTCTTTTTGAACATAGAAACATGTATCAAAGGCAAAGTTGCTTCAGAATTCTATATTTTAGTATTCTAAAAAGAAGCATTTATTGAGCAAGTACTATGGACAAAATTCTCGTGGGATTAATTTAACACATTTAAGATATATTTCCTACTAATAAAAAATGTTTTGTTGTTTGACTGCCACTAGAGGGAGTTTATCTTGTTTAATAAATTCAACTGAAGATTCACGTTAGAATTATGTCACCAACTTGATTCCAAAATTTTATGGAATTGTATATCTAAGTGGCCACTTTAAGAAGTCTCTAATTATGCTACAATATATTTTCCCTTTAAATAAAATAAAATGACTATCATTTAAGGATCAAAGGTAAAACAATTTCAATGGTATTTTCAGCTTCAACACAATGTATTTCTCTTAACAATGCTGGCACATTAAGTTCTATTTGGTACAAATTAATAACTAAGAAATTCATATTAAACCTAGTATTAAGTTAAACAACCACATTCTTAAAATCACCTTTAACTGCAATGTAAAGTTAACCAGCTTTTATTCAAATAAAAATAATTTACAAATAATTTCACATGATTCTGTATATACCAACATTAGGCTTTCCTTAGGGAGTGATGTAGTGACATTTTAATAGGTAGTGATCTAGTAACATTTTAATGCACTTCTATGATTAGAAGTAATGCATGTGCTCAATGATGCTCTAATGACCATGGACACAGCTAAGTAAAATAAAAAGAAAATTTTTAGTTATACTGTATTACAATACATTATTTACAACTGTGTTAATCTCATGAAATATACAAAGATAATAAAAGATTATTATAAAGATAATAAAAGTATATCTTACATCAAAAGAAAACATATTTAAAAGTAAGTTCTTTAACAAATGCTAGCTTGAAGCTAATGATGTTAAACCTCATATTTACAAAATTGACACATTCATTTTAAAAATCTATCACTGTCCTTTTGAAAAACACTGATCATCATATAAAACTTAGTTTTCTTAGGGAGATCTTCAAGTGCCCCACTGATTACAGAAAACCCATGGTACCTCTTTTAATTATGTTAAGTGTACTACTGTAATTATACAGAAGAGATATTTAGAATGTCCCAAAGTACCAACGACAAGTTAAATTAGACAAGTATTTATATTAAAAACAACTACAAAATACAAAATACTGTAAAACAGTATCACAAAAAGAAACAATTGCTGACCTCACAGTACTCCTGGTGTCAATCACACTACAAAGTTATGACTTTCAAGTTTTAGTCAATCTATTTGAAATAAAGATCTTGTTAATGACAAATTCAGAGCTAAAGAAAGAAGGTCATGGAAATTCTAAAAGTAAATGAAAACTCCAAGACAATGAAACTTTAAAAGCAATGACTGGTCTTTACCTATCTTAAGCTATATTGTTCCCAGTAGTGATTAACAATATTTAAACAAAACGCACACTTCTGATTTGTTGAGTGTTCTTTTTTTAAATCAGAATTGATTATGAAAATTTGAAAAGCATAACTCAGAGCTAATAATTAGGAATAAACATTTGAATACAGCCAACTCACAGAAACAAAACTGTTTCAAACACGGATTTTTAAAAAAAAAATACGGTATTGGAATGTAATCTCTGCAAATTTTTCACCAAAATAAACAAGGATAAATTTGTAATAATTCTTTTAAAATTCCAAAACTTCATAGGGGAGAGAAAAAAAAAAGAATGACAAAAAGAAAACTTCTGTTTAAATAATTCCAGTTCCAAATCTTCTACTTTCTAGACTTCAAAATCACCCCAAAATAGATAAGAAAATTTCTTTAAAAGGTTGCAAAGATTTCAAAACCTCCACGGTATTCTGTCCACTATTCATACCTGCTATCATCTCTATACACTTTACAGATATGGTCACATTGAACGTTACAAAATTATATCAAATAAGTAAGAGGGCAACAAAAGTGTTAGAGCATATCACACTTTTAGAAGCACTCAGCACCTTTCTAGCATTTGGCACGTGTTTAGCTCTTTAAAACTTCTCCCTCTACAAAGCACCCCACTAGGAATGAGAACGGCTTCTAACCTAACCAATAAGGATATTAAAAGTGGAAGGAGATTCAACAAGGGTTTAGGTCAAGTAATCCACCAGCCCCACAAGGCAGACCAAAGCTGTCAACAAATTAGGACCACAAAAACAGAACACAGAGCTGCAAAACTGTGGGGGTACCAGGGGGTGCTTCGTGCGCGGGGGAAGGGGTGCGGTGAATGTTTAAAATGCAATAAGAACAGGAAAATACAGGGTCAGTCTCTACTGGAGCCTCTAAATCTCGATTTCACAAACTGATTCCAAGTGACCTGATGCCCCGCCCGACCTTGGGATTTGGGGGGCAGGAAGGGGCGGCCTCCCCCACCCGCGTGCCTGGTTGCCCAGCCCCCGTGCGGAATCGCCCCGACACTCACGTTTTCTGTACCGGCTTCCGCCGCTTACGACTGGCGTAGGTGATATTGGCGCTGCTGTTGTTCATGGTGCCCAGCCAGCGGCGGCTCCTCTCGGACGCAGGTGACCGGGTCCCTAAGATCTGGTGGCCGTAGGGACTTGGTGGCTGCCGCTCTGGGATCCAGGAAGCCGCGCCCCTTCCACCTGTGTCCTCCCGGGCTTCAGCGAGCACGCCGCACCCCCGGAGCCTTCGCTCCACAGCCCTGCGCGTCCAGGTGCGCCTCCGAGGCCCAGCGCCCCACCGGGAACGAGGGGCGGAGACCCGGAGCAAGGCGGCGCAGGTGTTGTCTCTACCCTGGGAGGCTGCGCAGCGCTGCCCACAGGTGAGCGGCTGGACGGAGGAGGAGTCTGGGCTGCCTGTTTGGATTCCCGGCCTGGGTTGTGGGCGGTGGCGCCGCACCCCGTGACCGTCGCAGCGGCCCCTTGGGTAAGGGAAGCGCTGCTAAAGTAGCTCTTGGGGCTTCCCCAATCCTGGGTGCTTCCCGCCAGCGGAACTCAAGCGCCGGTGCCAGTCCTCGGTGCCACCAGCTTCCTCTGGGCCTCGTGGCTGCCTCTGGTCTAAGTAGATGGTCCTGGGCACGCACTCAAGGCAAATCAATCAGCAGACTATCCCGCGGCTGCCTCCCGCCACCACTCACCGCCGAATTGCAGAAGCGCCCCAGACCCCTTAACAGCCCCGCCCAGCCCCTGGTGCCCCGCCCCGCCTACCTTAGCACCGCCTCTCATTCCCTCCCCCTTAAGAGCCCCACCCACACAGCACGTGATGACGCAATACGCACTACGTCACCCAGTAGCCACAGTCGAGAGGTCAAAAAGATTCTGGACATATCTCCAGTCTGGAAAAGAGGTGTGACAGCATTACGTGAGGCCAAACTCTTGTTGTTAAATTGTCTCAAGGATAGATATGCCAAATGGAGAGCTTAACATCATCTCTATAGGAGACGGTGACTCAGCTAACTTTTTGCTGAAAATTCCTATGAGCTGGCAGACAAAACAGTGGTGCTCTAAATTTCCCTAGTGCATAGGGAAGCCACATTTGAGCTGAAACAGGAAGGCTAGTAGGGTTTTATTTTGATTTTCTTGGTTTGGTCCCATACTAGACAACAAAATGTCTTTTCCCCACCCAAATAACTTTGTTATTCCATCACATTTCCCTAGGGCTGTGGAATAGAACAAAGTATTCTGGTGAGGTTAGAGAGAGGAGTTGGATATAAGTTTCTGGAATTCTATCTATTCTATTCGATCAAATCATAAAGTCTTGATAAAGAATCTAGATTTTACCATTGTAAGTGCCAGAAACCTTTTCCTAGATGAAAATTGGATGCAAGGAAAATTGGAGATTGTTGAAACAGTCCATGTTAAAGTCCCAGGAAGTGGCAGAAAAGGAGACAAGATGTAGGTTATAACAGAATAGGAAAATTTTAAAAGGGAGGAAAATCTCAAATGACTCCAAGATTTCAGACTTTTCCTATGCTATTAATCAAACTAGTCAACACAGAAAGGAAATATCTGTCATTAGAAAGGCTTCCAGATAAGAATGTCTAGATGACATCTCATCACAACATCCATCCTACATTTTAAAAAGTTTTTCAAACTCTTTCTGCCTGGTGGGTTTATTGCCTCCTATTCAGTGCTTCAGTAAATAGAAAGCATAATCTCCTTTAGCTGAAATTTTGCTCTGTTGTTGGCTATTCCATCTCCCAGATTCACTTATTCCCTACCACTTCTGCCTAAATAGTCCAATAAACACTATTGAATTTTATTCATTGCATGAGCAGAGGACACATTTTTATTTCAAAAATACCACCAGGATGTAGAATAGTTGAAAAAGAGAGGAGCAGAGTGGCATGGGTGGTTGTAATACTTCTTGGGAAACCATTTGTAACAGGCCAGTCAAGAGATGACAATTATTGATACTGGCTGGGTGGGGCAGTTTGGGTGGAAGTGATAGTGGAGCTAGAGAAAAGTAGATAGATTTCACAGATACTTGAGAGTTCTTGGAATATGGAGAGTATTTTTGGCAATGAGTGAACAATGTTTCAAAACTATGTAAACAGCTTTCAGGACTTTAACTGGCCATGTGATAATGGCATGTTGTGGTAGGGGGTGAAATTGTCCATTTAGCTTTGAATTTCCTGTTTTAGGTACCTTCCAGACAGTGAAGAGATGTCGATTAGTAGGGTATGCTGGTTTGTAACTCAAAGGAGACAAACTGGAGGCATACATTCAGAAATTTTTTGTATTTAAGTGATAAAGAAGAGGACAAATTCACATTATAAGGTATGAATTTCTTAGTAGAAATTAAGGACTGAATCCCCCAAAGCATCAACATTAACATCTAATGTCCAGACAGATAATGACTGCAGCAAACTAACTTAAAGAGTCAGAATGGTAAGAGAAAAATGAGGAGGCTATTGTGTAATGGGGACAAAGTGGAAAATTCTGGGAGTGCTTAACAGCACTGAATGCTTTTGAGAGATTCAAATAACATGAGTCCTAAACATGTCTTTTTTTGGCTTTCTAAACATTGGATCACCAACATAGTGTTGAGTTGCTAATGGTCTGCAAATCAGATTAAAGTGAAATCAAAGCTGAACTGGAGGTGAAGAAATGATATTAGTATACAGATTTTTTTTTCTTTAATAGTTTGGTTGTGAGAGACACATAGGAACATAGCTAGGCAGAGTGGAGAGTTAAATCAGTAATTTGGGTGTTTTCTTTAAATGGGCAATACTTAAGCAGTTGGGGGAAGAAGTGGACAGGGATTTAATTAACCATGTAAGTAAGACAAGAAGAAGTAAAGGAGTAATAGATATTAAAAGTAGGAAGAAATGAGTGCCAAAGCAGAAATGGGGAATTAGGACTTAAGTAGATTAGATAACAACATAATCATTTCTTCTACTATTTTACCACTGAAAATAATCCACAACTTCTTGTGAAAGGTATAAGAATGTCAAATGTCTCAGTGTCATTACTGAGTTAGTATCTGAATTTAACAAGATCTTCCAAGTGAGTTAAGTGTACATTTTGAGAATCAGTGCACATTTTGAGAAGTGCTGCTCAAAGAGGCTAGTAGAATGAAGAATGATGGGAAGATATAAATGGCTAATAATTTTGCACAGGAAGATGTGATGAGGTTATTCTAATATGAGCTATAGAGCAACAGCTCTGCACAGGTGAAGGTTTTTAATATATTTTATATTATAAATTTATAAAGTGAAAGTGATCTAGGAAGTGGTGACAGGTAACTAGGTGGATATCAACTCTATTTTTTTAATGTGTGATAAGAGAGACAAATTAGGAATACCCTTGAGAGAACTATTAGGAAAATGATTGCTTTAGGGAGAGCAAGCTTTCAATTTAAGATAAAAGACAGACTAAATTTCCAAAGAAAATTGCATACAGGGGAAATTTGCTGTTCATGGAGTTGCAAGGGATTCAGAGTCTACTATCTCTACCTTACCTTCTCTTTGATTTCATCTCTGTATTCTTACCTATAAACATTCTACCTAAAATACATAAAGTATAAACAAAAAGTTTTTCTCCTTGCACAGCAACTTTAAGGATAACAAAACGCATGTCAAAACATAATTTCTGTAATTTAAAGTCCCTTTACAGAAAAGAGATATATTAAATATACTACATTCCATGAATATTTGTTTTATTTTTAAGAGGTTTACCCCTTTAAAAGTTGTTAGTTGTAATTATCTTTTTTTTTCTCCTGCTACCATACTCTAGTTTCCTGTTTGAATTTAGGATTTTCATTATCTAAAAATTACTTCTGGATTATAATTTTATCTATATTACCAATACATTACAAGTTAAGGATTTTTGTAGAGCCAAAATTAAAGTTGAATGGCAATGAGATTTTCAGAAATCATTTATATTCAATATAGACACCATACACATCCCTTAAAAATTTTCTTACTACGACAATAAAATCAACCTTTGAGGAGTAATATCATTTTAAAGAGGAAGATGTTGTCACATTTTTTTAGCAGAAAAATCATTTTCTGCTTCTAATACATGTGTAACATGGTTTTCCAAGTATGGTTTGTCTCCATCAGCTAAGATTTAAAAAATTTCCATGACCAATTTTTATGTAGTAGTAAGATTTTTTGTATGAAAATTAACTTCCTTATAACAATTTCTGAACATTTAACTGTCTTATCCAATACAATTTTCCTTTTATCTAGTAAAGTGAAATTACCTTCTGAGATTTCAGATGTCTGTGGGCTCTTTCATCTTACTAAATATTATGAGAAGAACTAGTTTGAGTAAAGCTTTCACAAATTGCATCTGTTAGAATAAAGAAAAATAACTACAATGCATGCTTTATCTATCCAGTTGCAAGAACATGTACTCATTTACTTCATTCCGCAAGGTTTCTGCTCTTTTAACAGATACTATCATTACCGTGACATCAGACAATAATATCCTGTTAACACGGCCCATCTTTCCAAACTGTATTGAAGGAGCCTAAGTGCACTATAACAAACATGAAGGGGTGGCGTATTGCTGGGTCATACTCTCAATTTCAAAACCAACACAATGGAATCAATTGTACAACATGCAAACCACAAACTCAGGTAGTCAGAACTTCAAATTAAATTGTACTCATTCCTTTTAATCACATCTTATTTTCATGATACTGGGTTTTATAAGTTGCTGTTGTAAGACACAAGAACATGGAAAAACAGCAACTTTCCTATTATTCAGTGGTGGACTGTTTCTATTATTGATACTTTTTGTTGTAGGGAACACTAAAATCTTAACACATGAAGAAAAAGTATTAGAATATTAACATGTAAAAGGTTTAGATTTTGATTTTGCTATCTCAACCTTTTTCATATAGATGAGAAATTTGATCATGGGAAAAGTGAAGAGAATATAATTCATTATCTCATCTAGTGAACATTAAATAACATATGTATAATACTTTTATTTAAATCGATGTAACTTTAGAGATAAATACAATGTATTTAGGGCTTATATAACCAGACATATTTTATGCTTCTCAAATAATGATATAAAAGAAATAAAATATATTTTAAAAGCAAAATTAATTACCATGATAGACAAAAAGTTTAAGGTAATGTAAATTATTGTGACACTCTGACCTAAAATCTGTAATTTAGGTGCCCTATATTTTAAGAGACTAGCACGATAGTCTATTTTTAAAAAGATGTATTCTTTCTTGAAAATACTTAACTTTTTCAAAATGTAGACATGAATTCACATGTATTACATATGGAACTTTAAACAATACTGATGCTGGGGCCCTCCTTGGTGGCACAGTGGGTTAAAGCACAGCACTAAGAAGCTTAAGTCAATTCCGCATGAGTTCCATCCCCTCCTGCCCTGGAGGAGACCCACATGGCCCAGCAGAACTCTCCTGACCCATCCGCTGCTCCCCTCAGCAGTGTACTTCGTGGATCTGCGTGTTCTGCTCCCCAGTCTGTCTCTGGTGAATCCTCTCGCCCTCTGCATCTCTGGCCTGTACCCCAGTTCTGTACAAAAAATAAATCTTAAAAAAAAAAAATACGGATGCTGAAAGATCCTATCTCTCTAAATCATATGAAGTATAGTAATCTAATGTTACCTTAATAAAAAAATATTTTAGGGC